TCAATCGGTACAAACAAATTATAGCCAATTTGTTAAACAACAACAAAACAAATTTCAAGACACCTAAACGGCTAAAACATAAGCATATTAACTTTAATTCTGCGGATTCATAATGTAAAGAATTTGGCCAGTTTTTCCTTGATAGATCATTTTATGCATGCATTTGAGAAAGTACGTCGTCTGGCCTCGTGGTTTTCAACTAATCAGTAACTAAGTTTACAAAGAAAACATACAAATAAACATAAACAGTAACTAATCAAGATTAAAATTTTGGCATTTTATAAATTTCCGTACAAAATACCTAATTTACTTTTAAACTGCGGGGAAGTCTTTTATTATTTTGTTTGAAAATTAAATCATACGCTCCGATATACACGCAAAGAGAAAAAAAAGTAAATTTGTATTTATTTATTTTCCATTATAACCAGGTATAAAGTTTAATAGTTGACTTAAAACGTTAACTCAAGAATAATAATATTGTTTACCTTCATAGAGTAATAATAATCCTTTTACACTCTTTGGATTAAAAATTTAAAAAATTAGTTCAATTTCGTCCTTTCTAGAGCCGAGAAGATCTCCCCGGGCAGATGCTTTGGCCAGCGTCGGACGTAGCGGCCGTTACATAGTCCTGGGTTGAGTATGCCGTGCTGTCCATCCACGATTTAGAGCCACCGGAAGTCTCGATGGAAGAATGGACCACTGCATTCTGGTCGACCGCCATGTAAGACGGCTAGAGGCAATACTTTTATTGCTCTTACCGCACTACGGAACGTCAAACGAATCAGATTCTACTATCCATCTACTACTGCAGAAGGATCGAATAGAAAGGCGATTATTCGCAAATCAGCACCCGCTTGGACAGTAATAGTGGGGCTGTTCTCTTCTCAGATGAGTGCTGGTTTCTGTGGCAATCATACGAGGAGAAGACCTGAAGTACGCGTTGCTTCATGTGCCATGCGAGAGTCACAGCCTATTCAAAGACAGTTTTGGTATTGGGTGAAGCAAAGTCCATGCCCTTACCGAACTGATTATCATACAGAGTAGGGCTTTGACTGCTCTAAGGCACATTGACGAATTCTTCTTGAAGTTTTGATCCCATTCGCTCCATTTGTTACGGACAACTTCGTGTTATTGCATGATAATGCTCGACCGCATGTAGCTCGACTTGGTGGATGTAGAAATCATCACAATGAATTGGCTTGCACGTTCTCCTGATGAATCCCATCAAACACTTATTGATCATGATAAAGACGTTATTCGATTCCTCCAACAAGCGTTGAACATCTTCAAACCGCTCTTCTTCGCTGGAGAAATCCGGTCGCTTATTTATGCGATGCCTAAGAGGCTTAATTCCCTACGCAAGCTGCTTTATTAAGAGCAAAACAGGTTGTAAAATGTTAGTTAAATTTTAATCTATAATTAAATGATTTTCCGATGTTTTGGTGAATTTTCTTTCAAATCCTCTTAATGAAGTAATTTTTATTAAAACTCATGGATTTCTGATCTAGTTTAATTTGGTTTGCATCAAAATAAGTGTGTTGTAATTAATATAACGATAAAATACATACAGTTTGAAACAAACAACAAAATGAAGCCTCCGGTATTTCTCTTTGAGTGTATATTTATAATCATTTTTTAATAAATAAGAACTGCAATTGTATTTAGTATAGTTTTGAATTTTACATTTTAATATCAATTTTGAAGATAGAAAACTCTCATAACAAGCAAATATTGGCAGGATATTGTTGTTTTGTTTTTGTTGTCAATTTTCTGTAGATGGAAAGCTTCCTATGTTATACCAAAGATTATATACTAGAGATTATGATCGCCGATATCCTTGGGATTTCGAAGCGTGCCGCCAATGAATTAACCCTTCCACCGGTTGTAAAACGTCGAGGGGGACTGCTTCATTTCATGAAATATTAATTCGGCGTCAATGCGCCCCTTGTAAACAACGTTGAAAAAAAAAATCAACACAAATTTCAAATCATTTACAACACATTTTGGTTTTGCGTCGTAATCTTCGCGTTATTCGTTTATTTTTTAATTTCTATTATTTAACTTTTACGTCATAGAACTTTGTCCTAGAATGCCCCGATTGCCACCCCCTTTCATAACTTGGTCGTAATGGACTTTCCGGCCTTGAACCAGCGAATATAAAAAAGTTGGGGTATTAACATAATCACTCCGTCGTAAATTGATCCAGCGGCCTTATCGAAATGTTTGCTTAGCTCGGGCACAGGCAAGAGTCAAAACATATTCACAACCGATCGTAAAAAAATATCCTAACTTTCAACATTTTTTCATTTCACATTTTTCAATTCAATTTATAGTAATAATTAACGCATCGTTATTATTACGATTATCAAAAAGACATTACATAAATTACATGCAAAATTACGACAACACGATCAGTAAATGGTACAGCCGTTTACAATACATAAAATATACAGAAAAAATAAACACTGTTTTAGAAAATATGATAACAAAAAAAAACATTATTAGTATTAAGAATGTTCATGATGATAAAGATTATAACTATTAGCACTTATTGTATTTTTGTTGGGCCATAAACAAATAGCAATTAAACTGTTGTAGGACTATAGATTTAGTGTGTATTATTTAAAAAATTGACTACATCAATTATTGACCTATGAATCAACAAGCATTATCCTAAATATTTAACATGCAAAATTGTATGTTATTAAAATACTTTGGTTAATAATTTCGGTACTGGTTATATACCTATAACTGTTTTTTCAAAATATAAACAAGAAGTTATTATTTTTATTAGTAATTAATCCTATATGATTAAAAAATATTTATTTTTATTTCACGAAAAGAGTGTCATAATTTTTAACTTTCAATATTCCCTCATATTCCTACATTAAAAAGTAACTTATTGTTTGAGATAAAAAATAAATAGTAGTGTTTAGAAAATTTTTGGTTTTATTGATGTTTTATTATTTTTTTATTGACTTTTCTTCAGAAAACAAGATTAATGTTGGAATTTAGAGCAAAAAAATGAATCTGCAGTTTTGTCGGCGAAATTAATTTTGATATATGATGTTTAATGTTACAGAATTAACCGTAAACGATGTCGAACGAGATAACCTGTCCAATAAATTTATGCTGTTTTGGCTTTAAACGTACCATTTTTTCTTCATGTATTTTCCTTGACTTTTGGATTTCGCGGCCGTGTATAAATTTCGGTAGAGCACAAGAGAAACCGGCATAAAAAAATCGCGTAGGACAAGGGTAATTTGAAGTTTTACAACCGACTTAACATGACCATATAACCTGTATGTCATAGAAATTCGACGAAACGTCGATTTAAAAAATAATAAAACTGAAAATAATACTGGTGATGTTTTTAAATCGGGGATCGTCTTTTGAACGTAAACTTTATATTATTCTAAGATAAGGAATATAAAATTAAATTATATTTGTTTATGTACGATTACAATTACGAATAATGCCCAACAAGTAAATACGTTCTTTATCAAATTTCTTCAGTGTGCAAAATTTTCAGAAATATTTGTTATTGTTTGTTGTATAAAGCCCTCGGTCATTGTCATTAAATAATTTTGCCATAGTCAAATGTAAGAACATATTAAACATTATTTAATGACCTTTTTTTATAAATCTGGCGCCGGATTGACTACTGATGATAATGATAGTAGAAAAGATATGATTCCAAGTATTTATGCAATGGTAAGTTCTAAACTTAAGGCAAAAACTTACAGAAGATTATTTGGAATTGAAATGTCAAAAAATAAATCCTTCTAATTTCAGAAATAATCAGTTCATCTCGTTGTCAACTTACTTTATTTCCGCGAGATCTATTTATACAAATGATTCGATTGGTGTATGAATTTTAATTGTAGACAAATTAGTAGACAGAGGATTGATAGATAATAATTTATTTTAATAGTCTTGTATGTTGTTTCCGATTATATCCGTAATCTGTGACAGAAACGCGTTTAATGCACTAAAACGCGTTAAATTTGAGTCTTTTAAACACCGTAAAAAAACAAAAAATATAGATTATATTTGCGAAATGAATTGAATCGGACTTTTGACATATTTTTTAAAACCGGGAATAATATTGTCTTTAAATAATAAGGAAGTTTATCTAAACACTCTAATTATATGTCAAATGAAAATGTGAATAAATTTAAAGATAAGAAACTTTCTCTAGGACTAATAAAAGATAGTGTATTTAATGATACGTGCTCTATAAATTGTGTAGTTCGATAGTTTTAAGTCGTACAATACTTGAAGTTTTTATTTAGTTATTAGAAATAACAATATCTTTGTCATTTTGATAAACGTCTGACGATCATAGACATTTATTTTGTAAGAATAAACGTGGGCCTGAAAAATAAATAGTTTTCCAAGACACGTACGCGAGTGTCAAAATTTTATAAGAACAGGGACTTTGTTGTCTATAATAAAACATTTATTATAGAGACGTCCTTACTCGAGGACACTGACATGATTCGATTATTACTGTTAATGCTTAATACTTGTGAACTACTTGATTAAATTAAATAATAAATCATCTTTCATTTTTCTTTATTGATAACATGACGTTCAAATTCGTATTTATATTCGAAATCTTAAGAGTTGGACTGGTGGACTGTCAGTAGTTTTGGGAAGTTGGACATTAATCGTCTAAATGAATTACGGCCTCTGAAAAGTTTTCAAAGTCTCGTTTCAAGGAGTCATTTGTGCTCGTCAGAGGGAATCGCCGACGATAAACCGTGAATGAAGGTCTTACGCACACCATTTTAATAACAGGTACGGCCGGCACGTGCTTCGGTACAGCGAGAAGTACGTCAGGTAAAGGGTTCACGCTTTTTTACGACCGGGGGATGGGGCCCACGCGACCGAGGGGTGGGTGTCCGGGGGTTGACCGCACTTAAAACTCGTAAGGGCTTATGTTTTAATCGGTTTTTACAAAACAACCCAATGTGATCAGTGATTATTAAACTTACCTTGTGCGATCCGAACTGCTGGCATCTTTATCCTCATCTTGCCCGAGGGGTGGATCGACACTCCAGGGGTAGTGACTCAGTTGCACTTTGGCTTCAGGTGGATCCGTTGGAGACGGGTTCCATGTCACCTGAACATAAGCACTACACGGGCACTGCACGAGGCCAAGTACGTAATCTGGGCTGCGCGATGCTGCGACGAAGGTCCGTGGTTCTCAGGGCTGCGATGCAAACTAAGTGTACAGGGGGGCCGAGCGGAGCGGACGAGCAGATCGGCACCCCTCGGCTACGGTCGGTCGGAGTTCCAGCAGAGGGGATGGTCTAGTTCCAGCGACCCCCAGAATAGCGCCACATCTTGGATGTCCACTACACGGACGTACATTGGTCACAACTGACCCCTCCCACTGACCCCACCCGCTCTTATCAATACAAACCCCTTGACCACTGCACCAATTCGACCCCTTCTATCGCCAATTACATCTGCATGACCACCATATTCTTTCGGATAATTTTCGCACCCTACAATTCCCTGCTCTCGTCTTCGTTGGCATTCAACTGCACGTATTTACGAAGATTGTTTTCGTCTTCCCTTGGTAATGACCTTCACCACTGTCCATTCGACATCATCAATCACATCCTTCTTAAAGGACTCCAATTACTTTGTCCGTCACTTACACGCTTAAGTCTCAAAACACGTAAAATCAATTTTATACGTCAAAACCGTTTAATGTATATTAAATTTAAAATCAAATTAAAACAAAGTATGATTTTATCTTCCTACGAAATGTTCAAACAAGAGCGACCTTCATCGACCAACGAACCCATGCGTCACTAAAATTATTATGATTTATGTTAACTAGATCACTCCAATAAATATTTCTTCCAAACTTTTCTAGTTATTTCAATTTTGTGTTAGATCAAAAATATTCATTTTTAACAATTGGGTAAGCGTAAACAAAAAATACTGTTGAGTGGAGAGTCTAGTATTTTTGGATGAAATCATGGTGTACGTCTTTTCTCGCCTATATTCTTCAGTGAAGAACTGAGACCAAAGCCAGTCCGTAAAAGGATGCAGGGAAGTGATTAATTTTGATCAATTCATCTCGAATTTGTTCCAATTCGTAAGAAACACCAATACTGTGAACATAAACATTATAAAAATTGTACCAACTTTTTCGATAATGAAACGTTTTTTAACTATTTAAAATCACTAAAAAGTACATAAACAAAATTTTACAAATAAAAATACACAAATATGCAAGTCACAAATATAATACATGCTGAAAAAAAAAACGTTTCAGCGTATGTTTTCCACTTAAGCTTACTCGTATATATTATCTTCCATCTTCCTTTGGAATTTGATTTCGGATTTTTGAACATTAACATAATTTTTGGGTTAAATAATGGGCTTCAGGATTTGGCCTTTTGAAAAAACCCGTTTAACACGACCCATCTCAAGAAAAACTGAACAATATGTACATTTTAAAGAAAATGCGCCGAAAAACTTGACAAATTTTCAAGTTCTTTTCCGGATTATTCTCCAAATCAAAGTGTATCCACGATTTCATTTAAGAGTCATATTGTCTTGTTTTCGGCGTGAAATTTTCATTTTTTCCCTCTCCTGAAAAATTATGTTTTCATCTATAAAGGCATGAATCGATTTTGATAGTAAACTTTTACAATCATCAAGCAGAGTTAGAGTTAAGGAACTGAAAAAGTAACGTGTGGGGAACGAGAAAAAAGTTTCAATTTGGAAAAATGTGAAAAAAACTCAAATTGTTATCAAATTAAAACAGATTACCGTAAATTTTTTTACAAACGTCATATTTCATACAAGAATGTAAAATTTAAGTCGAATTGTGCAGTATTTGTGACTCGATGATATGGATGGGTATATCTCATACGGTAAAGATATCAATCATGACTCCCCCATTAATGACTTTTATAGACCCACCAATAACTTTTCTAATTTGTACTAATTGCAGCCTAGGAAGGTTAGTTTGAATAAAAATTACCGTATCTCTTAAACTAACTCAACAATTTGATATTTTTTCTTTTGAGACTAAATTAAAATGCGTTAAGAGACTTAGAAACTTGTTAGATTATAACTAGAACTTACAGTATACCATCGTGATGTTAAAAACAGGGGATTTATTTTTTAATCGGACATTTCTTGCTGGTGAAAAGATCACGATGTACTTACATCTTCCTTAAGAAATTCCTAATTATTACGACCTCAGTCGACCCATCCATCAAGTTCTGTATAATCCTTAGTCCTTAGTCAATACTTCTGGGACCATATCCTTCACTTTTCTTCACGTTTTCACTTCAAAAACGCGTTGAAAAGCACCGTTTTTTTAAAATAATTGTTTATTTTATATGCAATTTTGTAATTGTATTGCACTTTCATACATTCGCTCATAAACCTTTGTAATCACGTTCTGATCATTTTTATATAATATTAAAAAACCTTTGCGCACTTTTATAGCAGTCAATTTATATTAAATAAAAACATTACTTTATGTAAACCATAATGTGTTTCTCACTCTGAAAAATAAATCTACGATTATCTATGATTGTTTATTTTCATTTTACCGAAACAGAAGTAGTACAACTAATTTGAGCCCACGTTGTTTCACATCACTTTGTATACATACATCGAACTGTAATTTTTGTGTAATCTTAATTTTTGCTGGCAGTTGTTTCTTATTTGTATCTTTCTCATAACCTTTAAAAAATGGTTGATATCGATTATCTTATGTAAATAAAATACCCTTTCTGATTTAGTAAGAAATCTTTTTTCTATATGAATTAATAGATTCACAAATTATTCAGTTATTGCATTTTTCGTGAAGAATAGCGGGTTTCTTTATCTACTTATTAACTATTTTTCTCGGTTCGGCTTTCTTTGTGATATTTTTACTTCTTTTGAAAGCAAGAAACATTTGCTTTCTACAATGCAATCCATATCCAACTTTCAATATAAAACGATGACTACATACTCAAACCATTGGCCATTATTTTCGACCAAACCTCTATCCTCTGGTCGAATTCGATCCCAATCTTTTGTGTTCGTTTTTTTCTATCGATTTCGTCTGTAAAAAAAGTTCAGAACAACAATTCAACAATTAACCGCAGGCTGAGTACCCCTGAGACCTTTGTAGCGATTCACAGAATGAAATCAACCATGGGGCAGAGCGCAAATCCCTCTTTTCTGAAAAGATATTTTCACTTTTCTTAGGGAGGGAATATTTGATTTAGAAACGATAACTATACGGAACTGAATTATAAGTAATTCTAGCTCCAATTATGTGGACTTTCCTGGCAGGACTCGAAAATTTATTAAAATATTTCAAACCATGAGTATTTTGTGTTCATGTTAGTGATACCATGTTTTTTCACAGCATTTTTTAGAAAATTTCCTATGATACACTTTGACTCTTTACTGAATGATTCTCTCTCAATCTTACATACTCCCTCTCAACTTCACTCTCTCTCTTTCACCCACTCACTCTCCACTTTCTCTCTCTCTCTCTCTCTCTCTCTCTCTCTCTCTCTCTCTCTTTCTCTTTCTCTTCATTTCGACATGTATGTATTGGGTTGTCCGGAAAATAATGCAGGATTTTGGTATTAAACAAAAAAAAAGAAACTAGTTACTTTAAAGCAATGTTCTTTAATCAAAANATAATTATTGACACTAGTTTATATATTTATCTCTGTCTTTGTCATTAATCTGCCTCTCTCTGTTTCTCTCTCTCTCTCTCTCTCTCTCTCTCTCTCTCTCTTTCTCTCTTTCTCATTCAATCTCTCTTTATCTTCACCCTCTCTCTGATTCATTCTTTTTTTCTTCTCTGACTATCACTTCTCTGTCACTCTATCTCTCTTCCCCCTCACTCTTTCTTTTTGTTCTCTCTCTCACTCTCTCTCTTTCTCTCTCTCAGACTTTTATTTTTCACTTTCTTTGTTCACACTCACTCTTTATTTTCCTCGTTCTTTCCAATAAAGAAAGTTAGGCTTCATAGACGTTGAAGTCGGAGTTCAGCCTGGGGTGCTATATTATTTTAGATTTATTTTACTGTCGTGATAATTTATTGGGCCTTAATTTATAAACTTTTTTTTTACAAGGATTATTTGTTTGATTATATATTATTGACTCTACTATGGCGTAAGAAATCATCCTTTTTGATCTTGTTTTATCTACTTCTTGTTTTCACCTCAATGTTCCGGTTAAATTGTTGTTGATGGTTTAATATGATTCGAATTTTTATGATTAATTTAAGAAAACAGTTTTATCCCTTGACACGATTTTACAAATCTAGGCTATAGATCGAATCTCTGATATTTATCTTGAAACGCAAAAGGCGGCAGTTCAGTTTTGAGTTTCAACAACTGTGTGTTATTAAATAAATATTAGTGTTTGATGAAAATATTAATTTCATTTATGGTTCATTTGATTATCGCGACTTTTGTCTGAACTATTCAATTTTTCTTTTCGGCCCGCCGGTCGGCGAACGAAAGCGGGTTGACGGCGCCCCCATACAGACGGCAGATAACGATTATAATAAGCGGTCCGTATTGTTTCTATTAAAAAGAAAAAAAGGCGAAATCCCGAGAAAGTCCTTCGGCAAATTATTCACGGTGATAATTCCACCGATAAGCCGAGGCGTAGGTACTCGGAGATAAGCGCCGTCCCATTTTGAGAGACTAACCGGGCCCTTATCTCGGCCAAGAAGGCCAGCCGCGATTCGAACCGGTGTTCAAAGTTTCGGCTCTGGTATCCAAGCGAACAACAACTGAAAAAGACATTTGTCATATATTCTGTAAATGAGCATAAACAATCGTTTTTGTATCAAAAACCGGTATGATATGTTTACAAAGACATAGCAGTCAACAGCTTTAATCGTAAACGCACCATTGTAACTTCTCAAAAGAATTAGTTTGTTTAAGCTTACTTATTGTTTAAACAAATTTTATTCGTCTTGGATAAGATAGTAACAAAAAAATGTACTCTTCAGGGGCGTAATTATAGAAACAAACTTTTTTTTAACACACTTGTTTACGTAGATTCTGTCTGTTTTTATTTATTTTTTATTTTACCCAAATAATATTTTAAATTTCCAATCCAAACCTTGTAATTGGTCGCAATGTTTGGAGAAAAAAGAAACAAAATCTCCTGTCAAATTTGGCAAAGTTCTTGAAGACTGGGAAATGCGAGCTGAGCATATCAGATTGCCAAAAGACTACTCACCTATCCTTTTTCTTGCATGCTGTTTTTCAAACTGTGGTAAAAAGCAAACAACATATGCTTATTTTTAACAAGGTCAATGATTTTTTTACAAATTTAGAAATAAACATGAAGAGAAAATTAGAATAAAAATCGGGTTTTTAATTACACCAAAAATCAAAGAGAGAAAGATAACGTTTTGGTAAGAAGTGAATATCCTTCTTCTAA